TTTATTGTCCAACTCATGTGACCCCTTAACGTCAACCATCGGAGTTAAACTCGGCATGACAGTACCAAGCTCTCCCTCTCCCTTACGGTGTTTACACTACGTATTAATACTGTCAGTTAATTTGTATCGATTTTTTTTTTTTTATTCGTTTGTTATCAACGATAGCAAATTATTTAAGACGTAATGGTTTGAATCAATTTTATTGCATTAAATCATTTTTTATATGTCTTAAAACATCACTGATATTAATGTAATACTGATGCGATTATTATTGATGTAAGAAATAGTGTATTTACATATTTTGGATGAGAAATAAAAATTTTACTGCAACTTTGAAATTGAAATTAACCAATTAAATACAGTTATTTCAGTTTTATCCATCAACGCCATAATCAACAATATTTTAAAACGCTTTATTAAATCATGTTTAAAAACATGTAAAAATCATTAAAAAGCGATTTTTTTAACATCCTTATTTGTTTTTCATATTTTGACAAAAAAATAAAGGTGACCAATCAACTATTAATTACATAATGTATCACCATGATTAAACACTAAATGCCGAATCAATATACGGTGTAACCATTCTATTGAGGCTAAATTTAATCCAATCTTAATTATGGTGTCTGTAATTATTACTTTGAATTTGTGATTTTTTTTCTCGAAGTATAATCCAAAAAAAAAAAAAGGCTAATACTATTATGGATTGTATGTTTTATACTATTATAATTAGTTTATCGAAAATCATGATATTGAACTAGCCTTAAAAAATTGTTACAATTACGCTATCGCTATGATGTTAATTTCCTGTTTTGCTACATTTATATTAATAATGTAGATCAAGATATTGCAAATAATATTATGCCAAATCTTGGTTATGAAATTGAGGATTTCCAATATTATACATGGCGTATCACAAATTGGAAAACTTTAGAAAAGAGAATAACAGGTCCTGAATTTTTAGCTGGAGGTTGGAAATGGTAAGTTCACTTAAATATAATGACTTGAATATAGATTCATGTTCTAATTGGATTATAATTTAAATTTAGGCGCATTTTACTTTTTCCTTCTGGAAACAAAAATTCTGATGTTGTTTCAATTTATCTGGATTTTGCTGATTTAAAAGAAGCACCTATTGGTTGGCATTCCTGCGCACAATTTGCTTTACTTTTATGGAATCCAGAAGACCCAACAATATCTGTTTCTTATAGTACGTACTAGATTATTCATCATTTAGTAGTCTATGCCATTAACATTTTAATCCTTGATTACAGGTTCATCTCATTGTTTCAGTGCTGATGATCCAGATTGGGGATTTACGCGGTTTTACTTCCAGCAAAATTTGTTTACCCCATCAGAGAATCAAACTCGTTCACTAATAGAAAATGATAGTTGTAATATTACGGCTTTTGTTCGCATTTTAAAGGAACCAATTGGTATCCCATGGCATAATTTTATAAAGTATTTAGTTTCTTTAAATCATATTGTGCTTTTAAAATACTTTTTCATGCGAACCTTCTTAATATACAGAAATTATGATTCGAAAAAAGTGACTGGATATGTTGGTCTAAAAAGTCAAGGTGCAACAAGTTATATGAATGTTGAGTTACAATTATTATACAGTCTAAAATATTTTTGTAAGGTTAGTGCTTTTACTTGATTTGATAAACCTTTTTTACATCAAATATAATGATATCACTTTTTTATTTATAGGCAAT